ATATATATATATATATATATATATATAAACTATAAAAACGCCTATAGGCGAAGTGCAATAGTGTTTCACCACCGCCATGGACTTGCTATGCCTATGGTGGTTTATTGATTGGACCCGATCGTCCGTTGCTGTTCCGTGTGATGTTTTGACCATCACAGATCTAGTATGTTTGAAAAAATGGAAGGTTAATAATAAATGGAAGATAAAACACTTAAATGGAAGATAACACACTTACATGGAAGATAACACAAATAAAGTATGGATAGAAGATCAAAATATACAAACACAAAAGACAAAAATGGAAGATAAATAACAAATGGAAGATGAAACACTTAAATAGAAGATAACACACTTAAATAGAAGATACCACAAATAAAGTATGGATAGAAAATCAGAATATACAAACACCAAAGGATTCATATTTTATAAACTTCATAAAATAATCACACGCATCATACATAAGCAAATACAAGCTTAAAACATACTTATATAGCACAAGCTCCTACTGGAGGTGGATTGTAGAGAAAATGACTTACGCACCACCAGAGAGAAAGAGGAGAGAGAGAGAGAGAGCACTCTGAAAGACTCAAGTTCTTATGTCTAAGCTAAACTCGAAGTGCCCCCTTCAAAGGTGAGACCCTACCTTTTATAGACTGAGATGGCGGACTGCAAGATGTCTTAAGTCCAGTGCATTATTGAACTGGCAGACTTTAACGAGTTTTAAGTCCGGTCCATTATTGGAGAATCTTCAATAGTGGTTTAAAAGTGTAAGTGATTGGATTATTGTAGTCTTTTTCCTATCGCCATTATCTTTTGTCGAGACACATGACCTGAATAGTGTGGAGTCGGTCTGTCCTTTTCTTTTTAAAGCAGATTCCTTTTAACTGGATAATGGGGTTAGGATCCCAAGTAGCCATCTTCGTCTTGATTCACCATATCCTCCTCTCCGTTTGCTTTTTCTGATACAGACATATTATCTTCTTCTTCTTCCAGTGCCATCAGTAGTTTTTTCTTGAGCTATTTTTTGGATAACTTTAGGGTTTTGTTGTTTCATCATATCCATATAATCCATAAGCTTAATCTGGGAATTTTCATGATTTTGAAGGAATCGAACTATTTTAAGTTAGAGATTCTCTGGTTTTAAAAAAATGTTTTTATAATTATCCCAATATTTTACCGAAATTTGTCTCTGAAGTTCAGGGATATAATATCATCTATCATAGTTATCCTCGGTTATTTTGTATGACCATTTTAGGATCCAAGGGATTTGATATAAAGCCATAAAATAGATGTGATAATTCCTTTTAGGAAAATACTTATTAAAGTCGGCGAATTTTCTTTGAAATATTAGTACCTCATTGGGGGGGATTTCTATACATGACCCCCATAGAAAAAACTAGTTTTTGAACCAATTTGGGAATTCAGTAAATGTTTTAAGTTTAAATTGGATATACCAGCTATGAGTAATCTTAAGATTTTGATAAGCAAAGATTTCATCCCACGCTTTGATATATTCAAAGTAATGATAAGTTTTAATTTTAAAACCCTTTGTATTTAGAATCATTGGTTTCAAATGATCAAGTCCCCAATCTCTATAAGAGATAATCTTATGTATTAGAAGCTTTGAGAATCATTATTCCTATAGTTATGAACTATAGTTACTGATCCTGTTTCCATTAAGATGGCTTCATAATATTCCCCCCATCTTTCCCCTTCATTTGGATGCAAATGAATTAATAGATATTTTGCTACTATTTCAATAGGGGGTTTTACTCTATGATCATTCTCTATAACCATTAGAGGTATATATGATGTATCCACAAAAGGTGTCCTATTAGGACTTTGAATTGGACTATAAGTCTTAAGGGGGCATTGTTGATAAGACATTTTAATCTCTTTATTTTGCCTTCCTACTAAGGCATTTGGTGATCTTGATGAAGTTGCCAAGTCTTTACTTGGGCTTGGGACTATCTCCATTGGTTGTTTTTGTTACTTCATGCCAGCCCTGTAAAATTCTCTGGTAAAAAAGTCAGACAAATAATTTGAATCTCCATTAATATGCTCGATTGTAAATTCGAAAGCTGAAAGTATTCTTTGCCATCGGACGAAAATTTGTTTTGAGACAAGATTTTTAATATCTTTTTTTATAATATCTTTTGTTACCTTAAAATAAGTTTTTATAAGAAAACTTTGATTAATCAAGTCCCTTTGGAATTTTGTAACACCGTGGATAAGAGAGAATTTCATTTTTTACTGTGGAATATTTTTATTGAGCTGGGTTCCAGACTTTGGATGTAAATCTAACCACTTGTTCTTTGCCATGAATCCTTTGTTTAAGAACTTCCCCTAACCCTTATTCAGAAGTGTCGTCCTCAATTATTTTGAAGGCTTCATGATTAGATAATGTTAAACAAAGTAATTTTTTAGCTTTTAGTTTGATCTTTCTAACGGCTTTAGTATGCTCATCTGTCTAGTCCATA